ATTTGATTAAAAAAAAAAAAAAAAGAGCCCCAGCTTTGTGTGGTGGTGCATGCGTCTAATCACAGCCACTTTGGAGGCTGAGGTAGGATGATTGCACGTTTAAAGACAACCTTGAAAATTAAGCTAGACCTTCACAATACACAAATCAAAAGCTAGGGATATAGCTCTGGCAAAGCACTTATCTATCATGTGCTTCTCAGGTTCAGTACCTAATACCATCACCTAATAAAAGAGCTGTAATGCTTGTTTCTTTTAACAAGCCAAATAATATAAAACTATATGAAGAAAATGATAAAAAATTTTCCTTTGCTTTTTGAAGCCATCATTATTAGGTCCCAGGAGCGTATCCATTCACACTTTTATCAAAAGTATAAAAAATTTATATACGTAGCATAAATTTTTAAACAAAATTGGGATATTACTTTCACTTGCTTTTACTACCATTTTACAAAAAAATACCATGGACATCCTCCTAGGTCAGTATATGTAGATGTAACAAGTCTCTTTTAATTAGTTAACAACCTGCAAGATTAGGATTCTTTTTCTTCATGTCTGTCATCTTGCAATAACCTTTCTTTTTTGTTGTTGTTTTGGTGGAACTGGGGATTGAACTCAGGCCTTTGCACTTGCCAGGGAAGCGCTTACTCCACTGAGCCATCTCCCCAGCCGCAATAAACTTTCTATTATGGTATTGCCTTTGTTCTCTTCCTTTTTTGAGACACTCAGGGCATAGGAATGCTAAAAGTCATTAAGTTACACGTCAAAATCTTTCTGATTAAAAAAAAAAGATGCTTCAAGAAATTTTTAAACTAGTCTAAGAACACAAAGTTAGTGGGAGAAATAGTCATTTATTAAATATTTCTGCAGTATCTCTATGTGGTCTTGGTATTACAGAGCTTAACTTTTAGGAAAATCAAGTAAAATCCAAATAAGTAAATAAATATGATAATGTAAAATATGATCAGTATTATGAAGAAAAAATGAAATTAAGCATATTAATTGTATTACAGGTAATGTCTGGTACCTCTAGACATGGAGTATAACTAACACAGTGCTTGAAAGAAATGAGCTATGAAGACAGGAAAGACATGGAAAAAGTGCCCGCGTTAGACAGGATGCACATGAGAAGTCTCTTGGAGTGCAGAACATTTGAATTCTACCTAGAAATCTTAAAAAGAGGCAAGGCAAAAATATTCCAAAGCAAACAACAAAAACGGCAACAAGAGAAGAAAGACTATCAGTACTGTTGTGTAGTGCTGTAGGGGAAATGAGGCTTGCAAAGCAGACAGAGAGGCCTTGCAGGTTGGGAAGGCGCCAGACTGGGGAACTGATGGAAAGATCTTAAGTGAGGATAGAGTTAACCACATTTTTTTTTTTTTTTTTTGGTGGAACTAGGATTGAACTCAGGCCCTTGTGCTTGCTAGGGAAGCACTTATTCCATTGAACCATCTCCCCGGTTCCTACAGTTAATCACATTTGTATCTCACAAGGACTACACTGATCTCTAGATGAAGGAAGGACAGAAGGCAATCAAGAAAGGAAGCAGGAAAGGCACTGCAGAAGTAGAGGTAAGCAGTGACAGCCATTATGCTTAGGGCAAGCAAATGGATGTGGACAGACTTGACAAGTATTTGAAAGGGAATTTCCACAAGTCAGGCTGATGGTGCAAGTGTGGCACTGAGGAAAAGAGTGGGACTAACAATGGCTCCCAAGCACTGCTTGGTAAATCTGGTATTTATTTATTGGTAATTGGCAAAACCTGGAAGCAGCCAAGACGTTCTTCAATAGGTGAGCAGGTAATGTCTGGTACCTGTAGACATGGAGTGTAACTCAGTGCTAGAATGAAATGAGCTACAAAGACAGAAAAGACATGGGAAAAAACCTAAATGCTTATAACTTAGTGAAAAAACCAATCTTAAAAGGTTATATGCTGTATGATTCCAAATATATGACAGTTAGTAAAAGGAAAAAATAAGGAGACAGTAAAAAGCTGAGTGAATTTCAGGTGCTGAGGAAAGGGAGGGATGAAAAGGCTGAAAACATGGAACTTGGAGGGCAGTGAACTACTCTGTGACACTACTGGGACAGACACATGACAGATATATAATGACACACATCTCTAAGAGTGATCCCTAATGTGAACCAGGGGCTCTGAATAATAGGGTCAGTAGAGAGACATCATTTGTGACAAATGGACTGTTGTGGTGTGGGAAGTCAACAGTGGCAAAGGCTAGGCCTATGCAGGGACAGAGGAGGTATGGGGACTCTCTGTACTTTCTAGTCTGCTGTGAGCCTGACACTTCTCTGAAAAAGAAAGTTTAGTTATTATTGATACTTTCTCTAGCCCATCCTCCCAAAATGGCCGGTTCTAGACTCACATCCTATCCCTCTTCCTATTTAATTTCTATCTTTTCTTGTCAGTCTGATAACCTTCACGGTGTGAAACCCACTGTGAATACTTAGTAGCTGTATTACCTAATCAGCTGATCCCATCCCCCAGTCCATCCTAAAACATATTATAAAAACAGGTGTTTGTTTCTACCACATGCTTCTGACTCAGGATAGCCTCCCAGTTGCATCTTGATTGTGACATAAGCTGGTCTCTCTCCTTCTTCCTCGATGCCTGCCACTGTATGTTGGAAGGCCTCTTAAGTTACCACCCAACTTCTTCACCACTCCTGCCTTCAGTGAGCTCATTGGCCCCTTTCAAGATTCAAAGGCCAGGCAGGTGAATCCTATTACTTGAACTCAGTTCCTGTGCATTATTTGCTCACTGTAACTGAGGGCAGAGGGGAGAAGATTTTCCAATGCCCTCCTTTGGCTTCCACAGCAGCAGAAGTTGTCTTAACACATACCAAGTGCAAAGATTTCTCCAAAGTTAGGAAGGCAATACAGATAGGCATTAATTTTTTTTAAAGAATAAAACTTTTTTTTTTTTTTTTTAGGCTTTAGTCATTTTTTAGGCTTTTGACAGAGTCTAACATTCATTCATGTTCAAAGTCCTACAGAAAATTGGAATAAATGGCCTGGACCTTAATCTGATAAAAGCCATCTAAGACCACCCAATGGCTAACATAATTCTAAATGGGGAAAAATGAAATCTTTTACTCTCAGATCTGGTACAAGATAAGGATATCCTCTATCACCCTCCTATTTAATATAGTTCTGGAATCCTTAACTAGAACCATTAGACAAGAGAGACAAAAGAAATAAGAATAGGTAAAGAAGAAGTTAAACTATTGTTATTTGTAGATGACATGATACTTTACTTGGAAGACCCAAAAAACTCTACCAAGAAGCTACTAGAATACACAAATTCAGTAGCATAGCAGGATACAAAGCCAATACCCAAAAGTCAATAGCATTCTTCTACACAGATAACAAACACACTGAGAGAAATTAGAGAAACAATACATTTTAGAATTGCATTGCAGAAAATGAAATACCTGTGAAATCATCTAACAAAAGAAATCAAAGATCTATTCAATAAAAATTACTCTGAAAAAAGAGATCATAGAAGATTTTAGAAAATGGAAAGATATTCCCTACTCCTGGATAGGAAGAACAAACATTGTGAAGATGGCCATACTCCCAAAATTGTTACATAGATTTAATGCAATCCCTATCAAAATACTACAAACATGCTGCACAGACGTAGAGAAAGCAATTCTAAACTTTATTTGGAACCAGAAAAGACCTAGATAGCAAAGGCAATCCTGTGCAACAAAGACAAGGCAGGGGGCATTACAATTAGTGATTGAAATTATAGTAGAAAGCTACTGCGATAAAATCAGCATGATATTGGGAAAAATAATTGAATTGAGGGTCAATGGAATAGATTAGAAGATGGAGAAGTCACTATAAACACACTCAGCCACCTTGTCTTTGACGAAGGAGCAAACATGCTTACTCAAAGAAAGATACTCTTTAATAAATGTTACTGGAAAAACTGGCTCACTACATGCTGAAAACTAAAAGTGCACCCAGGTTTTTCACCATGTACTAAACTAAAGTCAAAATGACTTAAAGATCTAAACATTAAAACAGAAACACTAAATCTCCTGGAAGAGAAAGTAGGAGGAACTCTTGAAGACATAGGGGTAGGCAAACAGTTCACGAACAAAAATCAAACTTCATGGGTTACACTTGAAAGAACTAACAACTGTGACCTTCTGTTATTGAGAAGTTTTTGCATGTCAAAATAATTGCCAACAGAGTGAAAAGACAACGTGCAAATGTGGAAAAAAATCTTAACTATTACACACTTAGACAAGGGTCTTCTCTCTAGAATTTATAAAGAACTAAAAAACTTTAGGGCCACAAAATTTAAAGACCCAATCCAGAAATGGGCTTCTGAGATGAATACACACTTCTCAGACAATGAAATTATAGAAGCGAATATATGAAAAAATGCTTCACATTCCTAGCCATCCATGAAATGCAAATTAAAACAACACTGAGCTACCATCTTACCCCAGAAAGAATGCCTATCATAAAGAAATTAACCAACAACAAAGGAAGCTGTGGGGCAAAAGGAACCCTTCTCCACTGCTCGTGGGAATGTAGACTGGTGCAACCATTATGAAAATCAGAGTGGAGACTCCTTAGAAAACTAGGACTGGAAATCCCATTCAAACCAGCTATTCCTCTACTGGGAATTTTCCTAGAGGAACTGAAAGCATCATATCATAGTGTTATATGTGTGCCTATGTTTATAGCAGCACAATTTGTGATAGTCAAATCTTGAAAACAACCAATATGCCCGTCACCTGAGGAATGAATGAAAGAGATGTGGTATTTTTATACAATGAAGTATTACTCAGCTATAACGAATGAAAAACTCAAAGCCTTTATATTGAAATGGATGTCACTTGAAGATATACTCATAATTGAAATAAACCAGACACACATGTGTAAATATCATATAGTCTCCCTAGTGTAAGAACTCAAAAGAAATACAAATAGAAAGGTATAACACAAGTAAAAAGAAAGCGAGGCTCTCTGCTCCTGTGCGCTCCCGTGCGTCCGCCGATAGCAGATCTTCCCGAACAGCCAGCAGCGATCCAGACAAGATGGTGAAGGTCGGAGTGAACGGATTTGGCCGTATTGGACGCCTGGTCACCAGGGCTGCTATTCTCTCTGGCAAGGTCGAGGTTCTGGCCATCAATGACCCTTTTATTGACCTCAACTACATGGTCTACATGTTCCAGTACGATTCCACCCATGGCAGGTTCAATGGCACTGTCAAGGCTGAGAACGGGAAGCTCTCCATCAACGGAAAGGCTATCACCATCTTCCAAGAGCGAGATCCCGCCAACATCAAGTGGGGTGATGCTGGCGCTGAGTATGTGGTGGAGTCCATTGGTGTCTTCACTACCATGGAGAAGGCTGGGGCTCACCTGAAGGGTGGTGCCAAAAGGGTCATCATCTCTGCCCCTTCTGCCAATGCCCCCATGTTTGTGATGGCTGTGAATCACGAAAAGTACGACAACTCCCTCAAGATCGTCAGCAATGCTTCCTGTACCACCAACTGTTTAGCCCCACTGGCAAAGGTCATCCATGACAACTTTGGCATTGTGGAGGGACTCATGACCACAGTGCACACCATCACTGCCACTCAGAAGACTGTGGACGGCCCCTCTGGGAAGCTGTGGCGTGATGGCCGTGGGGCTGCCCAGAACATCATCCCTGCATCCACTGGTGCTGCCAAGGCTGTGGGCAAGGTCATCCCAGAGCTGAACGGGAAGCTCACAGGCATGGCCTTCCGTGTGCCCACTCCCAATGTGTCGGTGGTGGATCTGACCTGTCGCCTGGAGAAAACGGCTAAATACGACGACATCAAGAAGGTGGTGAAGCAGGCCTCAGATGGTCCCCTCAAAGGCATCCTGGGCTACACTGAGGACCAGGTTGTGTCTTGCGACTTCAACAGTGACAGCCACTCTTCCACCTTTGATGCTGGGGCTGGCATTGCCCTGAATGATCACTTTGTGAAGCTCATTTCCTGGTATGACAATGAGTTCGGCTACAGCAACAGGGTGGTGGACCTCATGGTCCACATGGCCTCCAAGGAGTAAGTGGCCCCCACCACCACAGCCCAGCGAGACCAGAGGGATGGAGAGGCCACGCTGTAGAAGTCATCACTGCCCTACTCAGCCCCGATACTGAGAATCTCCCCCTCACAGCTTCCATCCTAGGCCCCCTAGAAGGGGAAGGGCCTTGGGATCCCTGGCTCGCTGCCCTTGCACACCATCAATAAAGCCCATTGTACCCAAAAAAAAAAAAAAAAAAAAGCGAGAACTTAAGGATTAAACAATGAGGAGAAAAGCTAGGAAACATGAGCGGGGGCAAAGCTATACATTTATATGCACAAGATGGGTAAGGCAATGATCCTGAGAATCTTCACCACGTTTTTGAAACTACCAGTTAATTGGTAGGATTCTCACCCTGACTAACTATATGTGCTAATACCTGTGAACTAAGCAACCGCACTGAAGACAGTAATGTGTAATACTAGGGTCATACTTGGAATGCCTGTCATTCTGGTATTTTAAATACACACTGCTTGACGTGTTGTAACAATTACTGCTATATTGTCTCTGAAGTAATTGTTTGTTAAAAGAATAAAAGGGTAATAAATAAAAACAACAGACAAGAAAAAAAATGTCATAGGACTGTCCTGCTACAATGCTGTATATGGTTAGATTTCTAAATTTCTATGTAAAAATATGTAATTGTTTATTCCAATTTTTTACATATTCTTCATTTTTTTCTTCACATTCTGTAGGGATTTTTTTTTTTTTCTCCTAATGCCTTCAGGGCAGGTTTGGCTGGCTGGAGTGTTGTGGGGATCGAACTACAGCAACCTGAGGCTGACAGCTTTGTGGAAGCAGCCACTTAAAG